AGCAGCTACCTTGCTGTGAACTATTGAAAAGCCAGTCCTTGACACAAGCAGCCGCCTCTCACCGGCAAAACGGGGCTGATGATGCCAATGTCTACCTCACAGAGAAGCAAAAGGAACTGCGTGCGCACAAGCGCTTTGGGAGCTGCATAGAGTCCACCCAAGAGATCTGGCATTCTCATTTCGGAGCAAGACAGTGAGTGGAAGGGTGGGCAGGGTGAGGAGAAGGGCTGTTAGGATCTCTAGGAGCAGGACCTGGAGGACAAAGGACAAAGGAGCCCAGGACCTCTGTGGTCCATGAGGGCGGCCACTGTGTTGTTCACTGCTGTATCCACAGAGCCTAGCCTGGTGCTTGGCAAAGTATTGATATATAATCGGTGCTCAGTTAATGTGTCGGACTCACACATGAATGAGCAGAGACTAAAATCAGCCCAGTTCCCTACCTCCCCACTTCTACCACCTGATCACAGACCTCTGCTCCCCACCCCTGAGATCGGGGTTTCTTAACCTGAGGTCCATGGATCCCCTCCAGAATTACATGCAGAATATAGTGTGTGTGAGAGGAAGTATCTTCCTGAGTAAAGAAATGTTCGATTTCTGCCCAGAAAAGCTTTTAAATAAACCCTGCTCTGAAAGGTAGGCATCTACCAGGCACTCAGTTGGACTCATCCAGCCTCCAGGGCTGCCAGGTACCCTGTGGGTTTAAAAAGAAAAAACATCTTCCACCCTTGTCTCTGAGAGGTGCATACAGGGCCCCACAAGCCTGCAGTTTTTCTTCTGCCCCCTTAAGGTGCCAGGCTGTTAACCTGCCATCTTTCATATGCAAAAGTGATGTCAGGGGGGCCTGTCTTCTGAGTGGCTGCTCTCTGGCTGGGTGGGTCTCACAGAGACTTGCACTCACTCTCAATCTCTCCCAGTCCCCCCCACATAATGCCATTTAGGTGTGACAGGTGAAAGTCGGGGTCCTGAACCTGGGAATATTAAGCAGGCCTCATAATATCTGAACTCAGAACAGTGCCCTCTTTTTAAAAATATTTTTCCTCACTACAAATAAATATATGTATATGTATATACATATATATTTATCTCTATACGTAGGTGCCTATTTACTTATTGGAGGAAATTTAGAATGTATAAACAGGAACTTCTCTGGTGGTGCAGTGGTTAAGAATCCGCCTGCCAGTGCAGGGGACATAGGTTCGATCCCTGGTCCGGGAAGATCCCACATGCCGTGGAGCAACTAAGCCCGTGCGCCACAACTACTGCACCTGTGCTCTAGAGCCTGCAAACCACAACTACTGAGCCTGTGCACCACAACTACTGAAGCCCGCACGCCTAGAGCCCGTGCTCCTCAACAAGAGAAGCCACTGCAATGAGAAGCCCGTGCACAGCAACAAAGAGTAGCCCCGCTCGCCTCAACTAGAGAAAGCCTGTGCACAGCAATGAAGACCCAACATAGCCAAAAATAAAAATAAAGAATATGTAAACAATGAAAACAATCACTCTACTCTCACCCTCCTCCAAAGAACTATTGTTACTACTACCTGTCTTCTGTTCTTCCCATTTACCATGTATGATGTTCATTAAACACTACCTGTGTGCCCGGTGTCCAGTGTGCTGCACGCTTTCCAAGCACCACTTGAGTTAGCCTCTCATCTTTCATCGGGGATTCTCCACCTTTTCATATACTTTCTTATTTTTAAGGCCAAGGAGAGCAGACTGTTTTGTAACCTTGCCTTTCTCACTCCACACCATCAAAATTTCTTTCCCCATTATTAAATATTTATCTACAGAGTCATTACTAACGGCAGCATGATGACGTTTTATTGCAGGCAGGTTCCAGGTTTCTCAGACTGGGGTGCCTGTACCCCTGAGGGCAAAGCCGCAGGATAAATGTAGACCATTTTCCTGAAGCATAAATTTGATTCCAAGCTTTGGGAGGAAAAAAAAAAACATTATTTTAAGCACAGATATGCCATAGAATAGAATAAAGAACACCCATGCATTTTAAACAAAGCAGCAAAGTCCAGGATCATGTGACTTGCTGTTTTTCCCCAAAGACCCATGTCCCCTCTGCTCTAAGGATGGGAGAAACATCTAAGAAGCACTGTGTTCTCCCTTTTCTTACAGATAAGGAAACTGAGACCCAGGGGGGAGAAAGGATTGCCCAAAGTCCACAGTGTGTGTTACGAACCAAGCCAGGTGGCCCCTGAGCTGTACCCCTCCTACCTATCCGTATTTGCCGTCACACATCGACTGCTTTTTCTGAAGGTGTGGGTGGAGAACTTGCCACTCGGGTAATCAACCCTCTACTTATCAATAGTGGAAACTCTTGGCTTCCTACGTGATCCATCTCTTAGCAGCGGCTGGATCTGAGATATCTGCTCTTGTGGTTAGTAACTATAGCGTCCCTGGGCAAAGGTAGAGGCCCTTAGGCTCCACCAGCACTTAGATTTTTCACGTAATGCACTGTATTGTAAACACTCATCCACTGGTCTGTTTTACCTAGCTGACTTGAGCCTTTTGAAGGCAGGAGTTCCGTGTTGTCATTATTATTATAATCTGATGTTTCTTGAGCAACTACTAGATGCCAGATGCCAAGTTGGATGTTTCATCTGTAGGATCTACCGTCTTCATCGCACCTTTTCAAAGAATGTATTATTATCCTTCTTTATCACTTACCCATCATCATTCACTCATTTAGGAAATATTGATTGTAGACACGTGCCAGGACTAGCGCTACATGTGGACAGTCAGGATGAGCAAAACCAATACTGCTCCTGCCCTCATGGAACTTACAGAGACTGGGGGAGATGATATTCAACAAATAATTTTGACAGGGCTTCCCTGATGGCGCAGTGGTTGAGAGTCCGCCTGCCGATGCAGGGGACACGGGTTCGTGCCCCGGTCCGGGAAGATCCCACATGCCGCAGAGCGGCTGGGCCCGTGGGCCATGGCCGCTGAGCCTGCGCGTCCGGAGCCTGTGCTCCGCAACGGGAGAGGCCACAGCAGTGAGAGGCCCGCGTACCGAAAAAAATAATAATAATAATTTTGACAGACTGGAGTGAGTGTACTATAGCTCAGAGCCTGTCCAAGTGCCTCAGTTCAAACCCACCTCAACCACTTATTAGCCTCTCTGCACCTCATCTTTCTCTTCTGTAAAATGAGGATAATAGTAGTGCCAACTTCATAGGGTACCATGAAGAGTGAATAGATTAACACGTGCAAAGCACTCAAAGCAGGGCTGTGTGCTCGCCAGGTGTATTGTTGCTGCTGGTCGTATGAAGGAGAGATGTGGGTTGCTGGGTGTGTGTGGTAGGGGAGCCCCTACTTTAGGAGGCAGCTGATTGAGTTCTATAAGATGATTAGGAGTCAACTTGGCAAAGTGTTTTGGGGACAGTTGTGGGGAGCATGATGTTGGGGGGATGTTCCTGGCAGAGGGGACAGGATATGCAAAACATGGGGTGTGGGCTCACCCGAGGGACTGCCAAAGAGTGTGGCTGGACCACAGCAGGTAGGGAGCTATACAGGGTCAGGTCTGGGAAGGAGGAGCCTGGGAGAGAAATACAGGTATCCCCAGGATCACCGCATTGTTGATCCAGGCCATGCGAGATGCTCAGCAAATACTTGTCACGTAACCAAGCGAGCATGCAGACAACTATGTTGGCCTCACGTGGTCTTGGCTGTGGGTGTTCCGTTGTCTCCCAACCAGGAAAGGAGTCCATTGTCTCATATATATACACAGTGATATGTGGACCGTCCCATCCCCACCATCAAGCCGTACGCGTCCGTCTTGCTGGTGCCTCTCTTCTTGGCAATCGATTGAACGGTGTGGGTTTAAATGGGGAGCTCCAACCTCTGGGGCTCACTGCGGTGGTGCTGCTGGAATCTCCACACTCCACCAGGGCATCAGATCCACGCCAGTGCTGTTCAGACTTGTTTAGTAGTGGAACCTTGTGTTGAAATCATCTTAGAGGAAACCCAGTATATGGAACGGTATTGAACAGCTTCCACGGCTGAGGCCCAGGCACAGGGACCCAGAGCACTTGGTCATAGCTGGTGCACCTGAGAAAACACCAGGGCTCCTTAAAGCACAGTTAGAAAACCAGAGGACTTCCCTGGCGTTCAGTGGTTAAGACTTCGCCTTCCAATGCAGGTCCGCGGGTTCGATCCCTAGTCAGGAAGCAGGATCCCACATGCCTTGTGCCCAAAAAACCAAAACGTAAAACAGAAGCAATATTGTAAAAAATTCAATAAAGACTTTTTAAACGGTTCACATCAAAAACAACAACAACTTTAAAAAAGAAAACCAAGGGAGGACCCCCAACCCCCTTTTTCGAGGTGTGGAAATTGAGGTCCAGAAAGGAGGGGGTGACTTTCCCAAGGTCACACAACCAGGGATAGAACTGAATCTTAGACGTTTGACATCAATTCTGCTGCACCGAGATTTTCCTCCACACCATCCTGACCACCCCCATCCCCCCTCAGTGTGGGGTCTTGAGGTGGGGAAGGGGCACGGGGCTGTGACCTTGTCAAGTGTCCAGCACCTCCCCCCCGGCACACACACCGAGTCAGGGCACAGAGCATGAGAGACGAAAACCCAGAGGGCAGGCATGGGTGGGCTGTTCAGGGTCACGGCCTGGTCATGCCGTACCTTTTTTTCCCTCTCTCTTTTAATTGAGTTTGAGGTGGTGGTTTTTCGTTTTCTTAAGGAATGGGAAAAGAATGAAGCTGTGTAAACACCACGATGTTAACTCCCTGAAAAACCTCCTGCCATTTTAACTCTGTTACTGGAGAAATCAAAGAGAAATAATTTGTCCACCCACACTTAGCTCTTTCTGACGAAGGTAGGTGAGTATTGCTTTGCTAATCGAGGGTGACTGCTGGAAGCAGAGCCAGGCTGACTGATCCCGGATTGAGAGGAAACCACGGCAGCCCCAGAAGGAGCGGTCCGCCGGGGTCGGCAGGGCCCGGATCACCGGCCGTGTCTCCGCCTTCCGCAGGTGTCCCCCAGCCGGTAGGGATGCAGGCGCTGGACCAGGCCGAGGGGCCCACAGCCTTGCAGAGAGAGATGCCACTGCCCCCGCCTCCTTCACCGCCCTCAGAGACAGCTCAGAAGCCACCACCTCGAGACGCCAGGAGCCCCTCCCTCGCTGTCAGGAGCAGCCTGTGCCTGCTGGCTGCCTCCCAGTTCCTGGTAAGGACATCACAGGCCTTGCGGGGCCTGGAGGGAGGGCGGGTTGAGGGACGGCCTCCACTTCCTCCCGGAGATGGCCGCCTGGGGACACAGAAGGACGAGGGGCCTCCGTGGCGTCCCTCGTGACTCCAGCCCTCAGGCTGGTGTGAGGAAAAGGCTGGAGTTCTGAGCCACAGCCTTGATGGATAAGCCCCTCACGCCCAGACCTCAGAAGCAGGAACACAGGCCCACTCCAAACCCCCTGGCCCCGCAAGTGTTCTTCTGAGGACTTCCTGTCTCTGGAGGCATCTCTGGGAGACTCTCCTTGTTATGTGTACCTGGTGGGGTGGGAGGGTCCCCTCTGGGAAGGGCTTTCTCTTGGCTCCCTTGAGCCAGCTTTTCTCCAGGGAGAAGTCCCGGGCCCTTGCCCCAGCTGCGCAGTCTGGACCTTGGGGGGCCAGGTTGAGGCTGAAGGGGAGCTCTCGAGGGTGGGGAGATGGGGGTATATGGGAGCAAGGAGCCCAGGCTCCGGACTCAGTGTGCTGCCCCCGGCCGCCCCAGCTCGCCTGCGGGATGCTCTGGCTCAGCGGCTACGGCCCCATCTGGTCGCAAAATGCCACAGACCTCATCTCCTCCGTGCTCACGCTCCTGGAGCGGCTGGGACCCTCGGTGAGTAAGCTTCAGGGAGCCCCAGGGTAGGAGGGAATACTCGGGGGCCTCCAGTCCCACCAAGCCCTACCTGGGGCTTCTTTGAGTTCAGGAGATATTTACTGGCCCCTGAAGTGTTTCTCCCTGTCCCCCACCCAGACCGGGTCCAAAGTTTTCAGAGCCTTGATTTTATCCCTGTTGAAACATGAGAACTCTGCCCATGCCCCCATCACCCTGACCTGTTTGTCTGATGTCCCCCAGGCCTGGCTGGCTGCTGGGACCTGGGATGTCCCTAATCTGCTGCTGGTCTCTCTGTCCGTGGTCCTCGTCACCACCTTGGTAAGGCTCCTCCTGAACCCGCCTCCGTGCTCCCCTCCCGTGACCCTGAGGCCCGATCCCCACCTTCTCCCATGTGACCTACAGACTAGACCTTCTGGGTAGGGCTGAGGATGGGGTGCCTGTCTCCTTCCACCAGTGCGCCCAGCCTCGGGGGAGAGGTGCCGTCTTTCTCAAAATTGGTTTGCAGCGTTCTTGGCTGGGGAAAGGGGCTGAGGCAGGGAGCAGACTGGAGAAGGAACCCTACCCCCACCCCACGAAGACGGCTTCAATCCACAAGAACCTGAGGGCTGGAGATGGAGGGGGCCGGGAGGACGTGACAGGGGTGGAGCCTCCCATCTAGGTGAGGGGTGGTGCAATGCAGGCAGCTCCCAGGAGAGTAGGGCTGCTCCAGACACATGGAGGCGCAGGGGGCTCAACTCCATGGGCACCCCCTCACCCAGGGGGGCTGCCGGAATGGTCCTCGGTCCGTGATGCCATATGCCCCCGACTAGGTGTGGCACCTCCTGAGGACTCCCGCGGAGCCACCCAGCCCGCTGCCCCCCGAGGACAGGCGCCAGTCGGTGAGCCGTCAGCCCTCTTTCACCTACTCTGAGTGGATGGAGGAGAAGGTCGAGGATGACTTCCTGGACCTGGACCCTGTCCCGGAGACTCCTGTGTTTGACTGCGTGATGGACATCAAGCTTGAGGCCGACCCCGCCTCACTGACGGTCAAGGCCGTGGGTCTGCAGGAGAGGTGGGTGCAGTGGAGAGGCGGGCTCTGTGGGCCCTGGAGCTCTCAGCTCCCGATCGGAAGGGCAGATGCCTGACTCTGCCTCCCAGTGCCCAGGCAAGAGCTGAGCTCGTAAGCCCACCAGTGGAGACACATCCTCTTCAGGCCTGATTCACATAGATCGGGATGCCCAAGGTGAATGCTAAGAGATGCTGTTACTACACACAAACACATGGGCATACACCAGTGTACGTACGTGCACGCTCACACATACACTTGTGGTTTGGATAGGTTTCTTTACTGCAGGACTTGTCGGGACCTTTAACATACTTGTAGTCATTGTAGATTGACTAAGGGGAGTGTGTGGCATTCCTCAAAGTCATCTGACCACAGGACCCTACTTTTTTTGTTGTTGTTGTTTGAACTCAATTTTTTAAAAATTTTTTATTGGAGTATGGTTGCTTTACAATGTTGTGTTAGTTTCTGCTGTACAACGAAGTGAATCAGCTATATGTGTACCTATATCCTCTCCCTCTTGGACCTCCCTCCCACCCCCCACCCATCCCACCCATCTAAGTCCTCACAGAGCACTGAGCTGAGCTCCCTGTGCTATACAGCAGGTTCCCACTAGCTCTCTTTTATAGTGTCTCATAGTGTTCCGCAGAGCACACGTTGGGAGGTGTCAGCACTCTCTTTTGGGGGCCTGGCTGGGTAAGCCAGGTCACACCAAGGTTGAGTTGCCCACGTGACGTCATGGAAAGAGCACGCGACGAGGACTCGGAAAACCTAGCTTTTTGTTTCAGCTCTGCCACCCCCTCACTGTGTGCTTGGGCCATCCTTGTCCCCGCTGTGGCACTCAGATCCCCTTTCCGTGTAACGAGGGCTTTCCCGTTCTGTGCCCTGAACACAGTAGGGTTTGTTCCGTCTGCTCATCCTCGCTGCCGCTGTGCCGTCTTTCCCGGGCCTCTCCTGGATTCTGCGTCCTTGCAGACTGCCGGTCCGGGGCTGGTACATAGAAGGTCGAGCCCTCTGCTCCAGGCAGGCACCCTCTCTGTGAGCTTCCTGGGGCCACAGGGCTGGGAACTACCTCCAGCAGTGGCAGAGGAGAGTGCTCAGGGGCCTTGCATTGAACCTTGGGAACCGGGCTGAGGCCACACTCGGCTACTCCACCACAGGCAGCCTAAGCCTCGGGGCTGAGCCGCACGCTCCCTGTGTCGGGATGATGTCACACCCACTCCTCTCTCGAACCCACCTGGTTCCCACCCCCATCTCTCCCTCCCTCATCCTCCTGCTCCAAGGCCCCCAGCTGATGGCCGTCCCTGACCCTGATACTCACCCCTCCTTACCCGGTCCTTCCAGGAGGGGCTCCAACGTCTCCCTGACCCTGGACATGTGCACCCCGGGCTGCAATGAGGAGGGGTTCGGCTATCTCATGTCCCCACGCGAGGAGTCGGCCCGCGAGTACCTGCTCAGCGCCTCCCGCGTCCTCCAGGCCGAAGAGCTTCACGAGAAGGCCCTGGACCCCTTCCTGCTTCAGGCAGAATTCTTTGTGAGTCCCCTTGAGCCGGCTCCCCTGCAGGGGGCAGCCCGTTCTGCACATGTTGATCTCCCCAGCAAGGCTTTGGAGCGGGGTACCCCAAACTCAGCATCTGATAGATGAACATCATTTCATTCTCACCTCTCCTACTGTCTTGTTTTCTCTCTGGGCCTCATTTTCTCATCCGGAAAATGGGAGTAAAAATAACAGGGGTGTTGCAAGGATTCAAGAGATGCAGAACGTGTGCAAAGTGCCCGTGGGGTGATTGGTGTTTGTGGCATTCCCAAGTCTTTATCATCCAGGACTGTGCTCTGAAAGCCTGAGAGAGCCTTAGAAAGCTTTCTCTTCTTTCTTTCTTCTTTGGCCACGCCGCGAGGCACCAGGTATTGAACCTGGGCCCCCAGCAGTGAAAGCACTGACTCCTAACCACTGGACTGCCAGGGAATTCCTGAAAGCCTTCTCTTCTGACTCTCCCGTTTTCCCACCCTCCCCCTGCCCGACATCACCTAACATTGTTCGTCCTCCTTTGAAATCTCTCCAGTTCTGTGATTCAGGCTTAGGGTGGTCCTGATCGCCTCCCCTCTAGACTTATGCAGCAGCCTCCAGCTGCCTCCTGTTGGACTTTGAGGGGCCCATAAATGACACCCCTCTTTTACCTGCCTGAGCACTCAACCAGTTAAGAGCCAAGACATGGAAAATCACAAAACCACCTTTATTTTTGCTGATAAAGCCTAGGTTTAACATGAGGATTAGGTATGTAGCAGTAGGGAACCTCCTAATATCAACCACCAGAGTGAACAAACTTTCCACCCACCCCGGGGCAGTGCTGGCACATCGCCGGCCTCACCTCATAGGGGAGCCCTATAATTCTTTCTTGGCAGGAGGGCCGGGAAAGAAGGAGGAAGGAAGGGGCTGGGGCCCAAAAGCCCGGTTCCTCAATCAAACACACTCATTGGGTAACTCGCCCACCTCTGTGGGTAGGAACGGGCAAGAGGCCATGAGCATTTGGGGTGAGTCCCTCTTGGGAGAAGCCAGAGGGATGGAGAACCCGTGTGCCTCCCTCACAGCTCCCCTCGCCCCAGGCCACCCTGCTCCCTACCTGGACCCGATGGCTCTCCCCTCTGAGAAGCCCTCCATCACCCTCTGACCCGTTGCTCCAGATTCTCCAGAATGTGGCACAGCGTGCCTTACCTGAGTTCAACGAGCCCCAGACTCCTTTTCCGGACTTATATCCCCATCCCTGCAGGGACTGTCCACTTCAAACTGGGCCCCACACCACTCCCCCTCCCCGGTGCCCTGGATAGCTAGCGCTGCTCACTCTGTAGTAACATCCACCCCATCCTCATCTTCTTATGATGCATTCCAGGCATCATCCCCCACCCTGGAGGCCCCTAGGAAGCCTTCCTCGACCACTCAGCCTCAGCTGCCATTCCCACGGCCACACCTCCCCTTGAAGAAAGGGCTTGCATCCCCTTGTCATCTCCAGTTGAGTAGATCATTGTCAGTTTTGCTCAGAGAGTAAGAAAGAGGGGTGCCCACACATCCACTCCATGGGCGCGTCTGCACGTGCTTTTTATTTTGATTCTCACAACCACCCTAGGAGGTAAGTATTATGATCCTCGTCGTACAAAGCACATACTTAGTGTGTTCACAAACAAGGAACACTGTAAACCATGTGAAGTCAGGTGCTAAAGCGTGTGGACAGAGGGAAGGGGCGTGAAGAGAAGACAGACACTGGGGAGTCATCCCAGAGAACATAGGTGGGGGGGAAGAGATGAACCTTAAAGGCTGGGAAGGGTTTGGTGTGACGAAGAGGGGTGGGACCGGTGCTCCCCACAAGCTGGGTGCCGTGAGCTCAGACCTGGAGGCTAGCTGGACACTGACAAATTAGCCACAGGAAGAGATGGGCACAACTGGAGGGTGGGTCTCTTCAGAGCAGCTGGTGGTAAAGAAAGGCCAGATCGGAAAAGACCTCACATTCCAGGCAGAGAAGTTCCAACTTGGAACTCTTGACATAGAGAGTGATTGGGAGGTGCAAATACAACTCTGGGAGGCCCAGAAGGAGGCTCCTTTCCTGCTGGAGAATCAGGGAAGGCTTCTTGGAGGAGGTGGCTTTATGATGGACAGGAGGACATAAGAAGATGAGGATGGGGTGGATGTTACTACAGAGTGAGCAGCGCTATCCAGGGTCCTGAGGTAGAGACACCCAGGGTAGGAACACGGGTCAGTAAAACCACTCAGTGTGCCTGCAGCACAGGGTGCAGAAGAAGGCAGTGATTTGCCAGGTCACTTTTTCTGTCCTTTGAGTGTCTACTATGTGTCAGGCTGGCCCCCAATAAACAATGGTGATAATTACATTTATTATGCACTCAGCGTGTGCCAGATCTGTTCTAAATGCTTTTTATGTGCACTAACTCATTTAATAGTCAGTGTTTGTTGAATGAATGCATGCACTTAAGTCAACCCACCTCTGCTCACACCCCCATGTCCTCCTCCTGCAGGAAATTCCCATGAACTTTGTGGATCCGAAAGAGTATAACATCCCTGGGCTGGTGCGGAAGAACCGGTACAAAACCATCCTTCCCAGTGAGTACTCATTGCCCCAGGGGGTGGGGGCAGGCTCCCCCTCACCGGGGTGCCACTTCACCCTGAGGAAGGCCTTAACCCCAGAGTGGGCCGCCACAGTCACGAGGAGAGGGGACGGAGGGTGCAGGTACCCAGTGAAGGGAAACACCCCCTTTAGAGGGTAGAGGGCTCCTTGTTCCTTCACACAGCACTTTCCAGACCCTTGCCCTGTGGAAGCCCAGAGAGAAAGAGGAACAATAACAGCAGCTCCTAGACAGTTCGTGGTGGCTGAAAAGTCTTATCACATCCTTGGTCTCTTCAGAATGGGCAGATTTTAAAGAGAGGACATTAAGGCTCAGAGAGGATAAGTGGCTCATCCACTGTCACACAGCTAAGACATACAGAACTGAGTTTCAAACCGGGCCTGTGACCCCAGCATTGGGCTCTTTTGTCTACCTTGAGTTCAGTTTGGCCAGATTGTGAGTCCTCTAACAGGCAGAGCCACCCCATAAGGGAATGAGCTGCCTGTCCAGTAGTAAGCTCCCCATCAGTCAGGGTATTCAAGCTAGACTGCATGAGCAGTCCCCTGGAAGGTCTGATAGGGATTTTCCCCCTTTGGAGGCAGTTAGACCAGGCGACCTGATATTCCTCTTTTAGCCCTGGAGTGTCATTTTCAGGTAACTTTCATCAAGCCCCTATCTGCCTGTCACCCCTGCCAAGTTCTGGCCCCAGGTTCCAGGGCTAGCTTAGAGGGTGATATATTGAAAGCAAATCCACAGACCTACTCCACTCAGTTTATGGAGTAACGAGGCTTTAAAAAAGCAGTTTTGCCATTAGCAACTCCAACAACATGTAAGATGTCATGACTTATTTTTAACTTTCAAAATATCGACTTGTGGTTGCTATGGTTACACAGTGTCTAGGTAGTTCCGGTTAAACAAAGCACCATTTAATATTGCCAGGATGCAATATTCAGGGCTGCTCACCTCTTCTCTCCTCTTGCCGCCCTCCACCCACCCAGCCCAACCTGGAGGGAGGGGTTCGGGTACCCCACAATCTAGGGCTCTGCTGGCCACTTAGAATAGCCACTGGGGGAGTATGGGAGCCAGTTCATCACTCCATTTGGTCCCCACTGGATTCCTGAGAAGACTCCAGCCTTCAGCCATGCCCTGAGCCTCCAGGTCCCCGAGCCCAACAGAGACCTTCTCTGTGGCCAGCAAGAATTGACCCTGTGCCTTCAGAGACCGGGCTGGGGTGTATGGCAAAGCCCCCTCTCAGATCCAGGACACCTAAAGGTTTGCTTTCTCATTCATTCTACACCATGCCCAGGGCCTGAGAATTCAGACATGAATGAGACACAGACTCTGTGCACAGGGAGCTCGCAGTCTGGTGAGAGAGACAGATCCATGGACAGTTCCAGTATAGAGTGACCCAGCAGGCAGCATTGAGGACAAGATGCAGGGGAGCTGCACCTATATGAATGAATGAATGAATGAATGAATATCCCTCAAATCTAGCTCCCCCTCTCCAACTTCACTGCCAAATTACTTTTTTGGGGTGAGGGCTTCCATGTTGCCCAGTGATTTTGGGGGGTCGGACTTGCATGTTGCACAACTCCAGGGGTGCCATTTACATGGACTGCATTGACATAGTGCCCCCTGGAGTTGTGCAGGGCTAGGGCAGCCCTCTGACCCTGACACTTCTTATGTGGATCATTACAGTAATCTAACTAGTCTCCTGAGTCCCACATTCTCTCCTTCTGTCCACCTTCTACCATTGTCACCAAAATGACGCAAAACAGAAAACTAATCATGTCATTCTCCTCTTTAAACACTGTCACTGTTACCCCGTGATCCTCGGGTTGAGGTCCAGCCTTATGAGCATGGTTTATTGGACCCTTTGTCAGCTGGTTCTCTCCAGCCTCATCTCTCCCCAACTCCCACCTGGCCCTGTACACTTGAATTGGACAGAGCGGTGCTCACTACTCCGCTTTCTACTGGTCCTTCATACCCAACCCAGGTGCCCCCTCTTCCATCTGAGCCAAGTCAAGTCCCCTCTGTTCCCTCGTCCCCAGTGCTCACAGGCCATACACTGCTCAACCGCCTGCCCAGCAGTAGGGGACAGGGACCGGGCCTGGCTGATCTAGGAGCCTCCGTGCTCAGGCACAGTGTCAGGCTCAGAGTCCACGCTCGGTAGGGTCAATAAAATCATCACCATTCTCACGGTGGTTCTTTAATATCAAAGGCCCTGGTGTCTGGCCAGGGGGTCTAGTGCCCACTTCTGAGTCCTAATCTGGGCAGGCACCACGAGGAGAAGGGAGGTGGCCCACACAGTGCTGCCCCTCCTCTCTCCCACTGGTCACCCCGAGCCTCCTTCCATTTACCCTCGCTCTTCCCCATACTGACGCCCCTCCACTCCCTCTTCCACAGGAGCTGCCCTGTCCCCACCTCCCCCACCATCACCTGCCCAAACCTCACACACTGGGGCCGGGGCATGAAAGGACCAGAGAGAGGAGGCTTTGTGGGTGTCATGTCCCATTTCATCTACCGGGTTTGGGATACTTCTTCTTTTTTTTTTTTTTTAATGTCTTTATTGGAGTATAATTGCTTTACAATGGTGTGTTAGTTTCTGCTGTATAACAAAGTGAATCAGCTATACGTATACATATGTCCCCATATCCCCTCCCTCTTGCGTCTCCCTCGCACCCTCCCTATCCCACCCCTCTAGGTGGTCACAGAGCACTGAGCTGATCTCCCCGTGCTATGCGGCTGCTTCCCGCTAGCTATTTTACATTTGGTAGTGTATATATGTCCATGCCGCTCTCTCACTTCGTGGGATCCTTCTTTTGACCTGTTAGCTTATAGTGGAACTGGTAATGATGGCAGTAATAACAGCAGACACGTGTCCTATAATGTTCACCATATGCTGGGCCGAGTTACGGGTCTGAGGACTCATTAACATCTACTCTTGAACGTTTACAAGATGAGTGAGGTTGTGACGGAAGGAATGTCCCTAGTTTACGGAGAAGGCACAGGGGGACTAAGTAAATGGCCTACACTGACACTGCCAGGACTTGAACCAGCCTTACTGGTCAGTGGTGTAGGCTCCTGACCGCTCCTCACACGGCCTTTGAGAGCCCCGTATGGGGCACACTGGCAGGGCCTTTAGTCCAGCCCTCCCTCCACAGAAGAGACCCTGGGGCCCAGAGAAGGGAGAAGACAGCCAATTGGTGACAGAGCCCCGGGCCCCAGGCCCCAGGCCCCAGCTTCCTGCCCACCCCACAATCTGCCGGCTCAATCCCAGCTTCTGCAGAGGCTCACAGAGCAGACCAGTCCATACAGGGAGGCTCTAGCTGGAACAAAACAAACCCAGGAAGAAGAGCAGGACGTTGTGAGAATCTGCTGCTATGGGATCGGACATGTGAATAGATGGGGGTAGGGGGTACCCTTGTGCACGTGTGTGCCATCTCATCTCAGACGTGGAAGACTTTACTCCTTTCATAGTAATCTTCTCCCTCAGCGTCCTACCCAAATCTTAGCTATAAAGTGCTTTACAGTTTAACATTGCATCTTCCCATCTGTTTTCTTATTTATCTTCCCAACAATCCTAGGAAGTAGGCATCTTTACCCCCATATTACAGATCAGAAGACTGAGGCTTAGAAAGGCCATGTGCTTTACAAGCTTACACGGCACGTTGGGGACAGTGTATACTCGAACTCAGCCCTGCTGTCCAGGATTCATCCTCTAGGGAATTTCTTACTGATTTAGCTTTCTCCTCCCCAGAACATGAGGCACAGTGAGGACAGGGAAGCTTAAGGGACACATGGCAAGGGGCAGCATGGATCCCACAGAGGGAGAGACCTAAGGCCTCTCTCTGTACTGTCCTCTTCAGCCTGGGCCTCACCTGCCTGAGTGGGCCACAGGGATGGGTCAGTGTTTTGCTTCTGGGCAAGGGAAGAAGGAACTTCAAGTTCCAGAAGAAATGTGGGTGCCCTGAAATGGGCCAGACAACGTGGGCTCTGCACCAGGGGAACTGCATATGTTAAATCCCAGCCTCACCTGTCTCCCCCACCCCAGACCCTCACAGCAGAGTGTGTCTGACCTCACCAGACCCCGACGACCCTCTGAGTTCCTACATCAACGCCAACTACATCCGGGTATGTAGCCCCATCCCGATGGCCTCTCCCTGAAAGGGAGGCCCGAGTCAATGGGATCCATCCTCTAGGCTTGTCCCTAAGCCCATGTGGTTCCTGCCAGCCCCCGGGAAGAGCCTGAGTGTGGGGACTGGGCCCCAGAAGCACGGCCTCTGACCCTGATGGCCTGGCCTTGGCTGGCCGCAGGGCTATGGTGGGGAAGAGAAGGTGTATATCGCCACTCAGGGACCCATCGTCAGCACAGTTGGCGACTTCTGGCGCATGGTGTGGCAGGAGCACACGCCCATCATTGTCATGATCACCAACATCGAGGAGATGAACGAGGTAGGCACCCCTGTACCTTACCAGGTGTCTGCTGCTTTGTGCCCTGAGCTAAGTATCTTGTTTCCATATTAATCCTTACAGCAGTTTTGTGAGGTTGGTATGTTCACCTCACTGCCTGCCAAGGGGAGGAAACGTGAGGCTCAGCGAAGTTAAGTCAGTTGCTCAGAGCCACACAGAGAGTCAGAGGCAGAGCCTGGAGCTGGCCTCTCCACCTCCAGGCCTCAGGATCTTAAACACGATGCTCTGCTGCTGCTCAGCCTGCCAGGGCTGATGCTGGCTACTTCTGTACTCATCACGGCCCATTTAATTGAACTCCCATCAAAGTCCTTCAAAATGGGTATTATTTCCATGTTCCAGATGAGGAAACTCAGGCTCAGGAAAGGGAAGTAACGTACAGGTTATGAAGCTGAAATTTGAACTCTCTAACTGCAAACCTACTGCCCTGTTACCTGTCTTCCCGCTGGCCTGGGAGGGGTATTGGGGAGAGTATGGCTGGGGTGCTGGGAGTATCACAGCCTGATCTGGGCCCCTGCAGAAGTGCACCGAGTATTGGCCGGAGGAGCAGGTGGTGTACGACGGCGTGGAGATCACTGTGCAGAAAGTCATCCACACTGAGGATTACCGGCTCCGACTCATTGCTCTCAGGGTGAGGCCTGGGGTTGGACTGGGCTGGGCAGTTGGGGGACTCCACAGCCAACAGGGTCCCAAAGGCCATGATAGCTGAAATTAAGGCGTGTGTCACTCCCAGGATTTACTGATAAGCAGGGACGAGGGAGAGTGTGGTGAATAGACTTGGAGGCCAGAAGAAGTGCATTTCATGTTGTTAGGTTCTCTCCATCCACACTGTCATTCATAATGTCTTCCAGCTCTGCTTCAAATGTACCCAAGGCCAGGACTGTCTGGAAAAGGGGGCTTCAGCAGCTTCCAGCACTGTCCTTATAACTGAACTTTGAGATCCTGCCTAGAAACATCCCTTTACCTGAGCTTCCAGCCTGTAGTATGACACCGTCCACCAGAGGGCAGGCACTCCTTGCTGCATTTGGGCTGCACAGGGAGGTTGTGGTTGCACAGAAAAAGGAAGAAAAGAAAAAAGAAGACACACAAAATATGAGCAGTTACAGAACAGCCCAAAAGAGTGGGGGGAGGTATCCTCCCACCCTGAAGTTGTGCTTCCTCCAGGCTCAGCATAGGACAGGAGATTGCTCCTTTGGAATCAGCAGAATCAGTGCGTTCTGTTTCTGAGAAATCTCATGACCCATGTTTGGGGAAGGTGGTGCCACTGTAATAACCCAAAGTCTGCCAGTAAGCTGACATCCTATCCAGAAACAGCCTAGGAGGTCCACTGATGCTGGCAGCCACAGGGTCTGGATTGGATGTCAAGGGCCTGAGACTTGCTCCTCTGAGCTGCCCCCTCCCACTGGAGGAGGTGAAAGAGGGGGTGTCAAGGAGAACTCAGCCCCTGGAGGACAGTGCCCAACTAAGCATCTCCAAGATATAGGCTTGCTTGCGGGCGGAAAGGGCCAGGAGGTAGAGGGCAGAGGCCATGGTAGCTGCCATAGCCAGATAACACAGGGGTGCAAGGAACCAGCTTCCTTTTTCTCCCCGAAAGATATGCTGGGGCTGTCTCATCTTCTCAGTGCTGCTGGACTGGTTAGGGAAGAATTGGGACAACTTGGGGCTTGGGGGTATTTACTTCTGTCCATAAACCCTTACAAGCACCTGCTCTGAGCCTGGTTCTGGGTTGGGTACTGGGAACACAGAGCTGTCCAAAGCCTGGACTCTCTCCTCAAGGAGCACCTATAAAATGGTAAGTACTGACATAGAAATAGGTAAGAGCACAGAAGAAGGACCCTTTGTCAGCTAGGGTGCTTAGGGAGGGCTTCCTGGAAATGGTGGTGCTGGATGGGGTTCTGAAGGATGAGTAAAAGCTGGCTAGGGAGCAAAGAAGTGGAGAGAGCATTCCAGGCAGAGAGAAAGTAGAACTAAGGGCGTGGAAGATAGAATAGCTCTGTGTGTGTATACGTGGAGGAGGTGTGGGAAGCAGAGGTTTGATCTGCAAACCATTTGGAGTGCAAGAGAATCAAGTGCAAGTTCACAGGAGCAGGAGTTGGGCCTGGAGGGTAGATATTGAACCATGTGTCTTATTTGCCTGGCTGAAGACTGGGGACGGTGGGTTTGATTCTAAGAGCAATGAGAGCCATCAAAGGGTTCTGAGCAGCAGAGCAGCCTGTGCTGTAGACAGATGGTTTTTTTTTTTTTTTGCGGTGTGCGGGCCTCTCACTG